GAATGTGTTTCTCACTTTCTTCTGAAAATAACAGCAAACGAATAAAGAAAAGTTTGCCCATTCATGAGCATGTTGACATGCACTCGTCAACCTAGTATATGATGAATTACCTCTGAGAATGGCAAAGTTATCGGGATTGCACGATTTGTCAGACGACATTTCTCTCCTGCCAATGGAAAGGTCCACACAATTTTTTGCTTCAGTGATGCAAGCTGTCAGAAGCCCTGCTGGTATGTCGAAAGAGGCTGCATCAGCGCATAAACTCTCCTGTAATGAAATTGAAATTAAAATCTAGCCATAGGTACAAATTAAATGTCATCAATGCGAAATGCATGCTATATAAGACAACATTTTGAGCACTTGAAAAATACAATTGAAGATTGAAGTTCTGCTTTATAGTAGTGTATACCATTATTGAGGCAGAAAAAATTCTGCATGCCCCTTAACAGGCAAGACCTTATTGAGAACATTTGTGAAATGACACAGAGACATGTGTGAGACAAAATCATGATGAAATGCATAATCGAATGGTATATACTACAAAGGTTAAATGGCTGCAACATACCAAGTTGTGAGCTTCATCAAAGATAAGTATACTGTTTGACGTCTCAATATTCAAAGTTTTCCGATTTTCTCGATCAATAAGATAGTTGTAGGGTGCAAATAAGATGTCAACATCGGCGTGAAGTTCACGCGAGAGATAATAAGGGCACCTAAAATAGTTGTAAAACCATAAGTAAAAAAATTATCAGCATGAACAAAAAACATTGTGCTACACTTACGTTTGATTTCTTCTTCCAATGTTGACTAAATCCTCGATGTCAATCGGCTCATCTCCTAAACTAGGATTCGTCTTCACAAACTCTGAAAAAGATCATGAAAAGATATTGACTAACACAAAATAAATATTTAATACCGGAGTACTAAAAAGTAAGGAAAATTTGTAAACTACACCATATGGTCCATATCATTACTAATGCTGCTGCAAGACACATTAAAACTTAAACAATCAATCATAAACAAAACTTAAAGAAAATTGTCCTGAGAGAGTACCCTGTACATACTTAGACGAGTGTACATAATAAGCAGAACTGAAGGTGAAGTACAATCTAACCTGCAACGCGAGGAAAATAGGCACAATACTTTTTTCCCTTTCTTTTAGATAGCAAGCGGCAGGCATTATTCTGTGTTCTCCCACGGAGTAAACTAACTTCTTCATGGATGCACAATTGCTCTTGAGATCCTAATACAACCATTTTAGGTCTGCAATTCACATCAGATAGTCAAATTAAGTTTTAAATACCAGAAAGAAACAATGTGAAATGTTATGAATGGGACCTCGAAATCAAACAAATGGAAAAGATAGTGTATGGCAAAAAGTTTATTTAAAACTAGACAATGGGATCACGCTGAGTTGGATATGGATATTGAACCCATTTATCTCATATTGTCATGTGATTACATGTAGATCTAATTGTGAGCCTGCCTCTAGGTAGATGTTACCGCCAATCCCGCACCGAACAAAAAAAAACTAGCGCCGAATTTCCAACGACAATATACATCTAATTGTGAGCCTCTAACCTGTAATTTGTCCTTTTAAGCTCGTCAATCACTTGCTTAATCTGACTGTGGGTGCGTGATGTATATATAATGGCAGGCAAACGTGATGACTGAGACTGTGATACTGAAGCATTGCCCAACTCCTGGCTGGCTCCACTATGACGTTTTCTTTCACACTTCCGCAAGGAAAACCCACCCAGACTTTTCCTCCAAGCTAATGTGGCACACAGGAGACACAGTGTCTTTCCAGTCCCGGTCGGACTCTCTAAGAGTGCATTACATTTCTGCAACATCACAATAGTCAAAACAGAATCCCCCCGCAAGTGTAATAATACAATAACTCAGGTTGCAGAAATTCAATAAATTGCAAAGACTAGCCATTATAGCCTGAGAAGAAGCAATGGTACAATAATTCTTGTTACAGAAATTGAAGTGTAACTCGGAACAGTTCTTCCCAAAGATCGACATTTAACGAAAAAGAGGGAAAGAAGCAAAACAAATAAACAACTGTATAAAGAGAATCAAAGTGTACATCTTGAAGAGATTGGATGACTTTCTCCATGTAAATAAGCTGGGAATCGTAAGCCTCGAAAGGGAAATCGACGTCGACACCCCTGATTTTGTACGTCGGCATCTTTCCGATGAACTGAAACCCACCGCGATTACTCAAATCGATCAGTCTTGCTCCCCTCCACAAACCCTAGGAAGCATGTCCACTATAAGCTCCAGTGTGTATTTCCCGCCGTTTTTAGAGCTTGATTTTATGGATCTTCCCTCTTTTCGTCCTTGTCTTCCTTAACTCGATTGAAAGAGTCTTTCACGAGGATAGATATTTTCTACTTTTCATAAAAAAATTTGCAGTCAAACTTTTTAAACTTTAAAATTTGATCGTATATTACAGAAAAAATATATTGAATTTTCATATAAATTTATTATCAATATATTCATTTTGAAACATAGTTTTGAAATATGTTATTTTTGTAATATATATTTATATAAAAATGGAGATATTAATGGTGAAAGTGTCGCATTCGAGATCGTGAAAAGTCAAATGAGAAGTTAATTTTATGACGGAGGGAGTACTTCCTTTTGTTTTTTTGATTTTTTAAAATGCTTCCACTTTCTATTAAAAAACTACTTTTATCCTTACTTTTTCATACCCTATCTATCACATCATACTTTTTCACTAATAACCAAACTAACACATATTACTTTTACCCATCACATCAGGGGCAAAATTGGAAAGTCAACCAAAATTACATTTTCCTTATTTTTTCCAAAAGTCAAAAGTGGAAGGGTTTAAAAGAACGGAGTGAATATCTAATTTCATCTAATTTCCTTGTAAATCATTGTCCAATCTCGATCCTAATTCATTTCTAATTTTCTATTCACGTTAATCACCAAGGTTCCCATGACATTGGAATCCAATGTCATGGGATGACCTGGGGGCGCTCCGGTGCCCCGTTCGTAAAATTGACGGTTCCTACCCCCGGTAAACCCATCCACCCCGCCCCGACCCGAACACACACCCCTACCCCCGTTAATTGCACCCCACAAGTTGATTTTGACTTTGGAGAGGTAAAAACTACCAATTTTGTGAACAAAACACCATAAATATCCTAACCGGGATAATGTTCACAATGGCCGCTTTCTTTGAGTTACATAGAACCGGACCGTTTTCCGAAAGCCAAATAAGACTATAGTTGTATTATACTAGCGTGTGGTGCTTGTTTGAAACAAACTAAGCACTTAATTTTAACATTTAGAAAATGTTATCTAGCGGTGATATCTTATTTTAGCATTTTAAAATTTACTTTATGCCATTAAAAATACAAAGTAATACAAAGTCTGGAGTAAATTAGTGTGTGTGTACTCAAAAACCTTAAAAATTTGAAATCGACCCTTTATTATTTTTTGTTTAAAGAAAAATAGTTTATATGTTTAAAAATTTTAGTTGACATAATTTAATTCATTAGGAGTAACTAGTAAGGGCCCTTGGATCCTCAGGAGTGACCTTACATGCATAATTTAGGCTTGGTAGCTATGGATGAAGTTTTAAACTCTATACATAATTGATAAATATGATGAATAGGTAGAGAGAGAGAAATAGAATAAGTGTAGTATGTATCTATTGAGAGGTGAAAGTTGATGGAGGTGCCCTCTTTCTCCATAACTGTATAAGGAGCCTTTAGGATTATGGTTTACATGAGCTTCATTCATGAGTTTTTTCTTGGGCCACGCTCAATATCTATAGCGATAGTAAATTTTATTATATCGCTAACAATATTAACCTTTTTAAATTTAAAATTTTTTATCTTTGTTGTGAAGATAGAAAAGAGGCAAAGAGCTATAATAAAATTGCAGATTCAATTCAAGCCCACCATTTTCTAAAACGAAGTATTTACTATTTACATCTTATATGAGTCATGGAAGAAAATGAAAGTGCAAATGAAATCAACTACGTATATGAGGAATAATTTCATCAAATCATTTAAGTTAAAGTATTTACATTTATTTCTTTGAGTTTGAGTATTTTTATTGTTAAACATTTTTCATATTTTTGTATATGGTGGATCCATTCCGATTACCGATGTCTTCCTTTGATTTCTCCTTTTCTTCATTTGCGGCTTATGCTCAAGGGCCGAGTTCTTTCCAGATGCAACAATTTCAAGAATGACAACAAATGCATAGGCAACAATTCCAGAATCTGTGGCGCCCGACCGTCCCGACGACTGCCACGCCACTACCGCACGCAACGGCTCCCCACACAAGATGTCCCTTATAATAGCAATGAGGTTATACCTGAAACACAAGTTCCAAAAAAATCGAAAGGTAAGGGAAAAGGTGAACGGGGGCCAAGCACGACTTAGAGTGCTCATGAATCTTGGACCAGGACCGAGGCGGAAGCATTAGCCAAAGCTTGAGCTAACATTTCCACCGACCCGATAAAAGGTGCGTTTAACTTTATTTAATTTTTTTAGTTAATATTTTTTCTCAAGTCTATTTTCACTTGTGGACGAGCGACGACTTTTGGGCTAAAGTGACTGATAAAATCCATGAGCTGATGAACTCAAAGTCGTATCGCCTTGTTCACTTCGTAACTTCCAAGTACTGCGATATAAATACAAAATAAAAACTTTAGCGGTATCTACAACAACATTTACCTGAACCGTGTGAGCAGTTCGAGTGATCAAGACGTCTTGCAGCAAGCACTTGATAAATGTCAAGCGCAATTTTCTCACTCGTTTCGGCATTTTAGGGCGTGGGACATCTTCCATGGATGTTCTAAGTTGATGCTGGTTCCAAACGAGGTAGCCTAGGTGAAGCGATTCAAAACGTCTGAATCGGGCGACTATACTACTATAGTCCCGGCATGTTGGATGCATGTTAGGTGACGAGTATCAGTGACGATAATGACGACATACCAACATCACTGGAGCCGGAACAACCCTTCGGGAGGACTCAAGCGAAAAAAGGAGAAGGATCCTCAAGCATGGTGCCCAAACCCTTGATTAAATGGTTTGAGCAACTCAGCACTTCATTGTCCAATTTGTTGAGATGCATGCGAAGATGCTTCGGGTTAAACAACAAGCGAGAGTGGAGAAGCTTGAGCAAAGATGCAAAGAAAAAACGTTGCAGCTTGTCATCGAGTGCCAACGCCTGGAGCAAGAAGACTTCAAAATCATGACCAACGACGTTGATAAGCTTGGTCCGGTGGAGCGTGCAGTGGTGATGAGGATGAAAAATACGATATCCTGGAGGTGGCTTGGAGGTGCGGCGGGTGACGGCTCAAGCAGGGATGTTTAGTTTTTTTACTATTGTGTTTATTTTTAATATGTTTGTTTTTTTTCCTTCAAAAAATATATTATTTTACGCACTATTATTATATTTCTTTGTCGCGCAATTGTTGTATTTTTTATTTAAATTTTAATGAAATGTTCAATTATTACAAGTTCAATAACATGATTAATTATTTAACAATTGGAAGTGTCTAAAATTACAAAAGTTACTTATGCACCAGTTTCTTACACCAGTTAGTTTGGCCATTTATGGTGTCCCGTTTGTAAAAATTACGGTTCTTACCCTCTAACCTTCCCCCTAAACCCCCATACCCCAACCCCACCCCTACTCTCGCCCTCTCCCTACCCCGGCATTATACTGCCTTGGTAAGGAGGGGCTGGGGTGGGGGTTTAGTGGGAGGGTTCAGGGGAAGGAGTTGTCACTTTTACAAATGGTGCACCGTAGGTGCCATAAACAAACTGGTCTAAGTAAATGACACCAGTAACACTGATGTCATTTTAGGCTTATTCTTTATTATTTTTATGTTTTTAGTTCAATTATTTAAAATCAAATAATTGTTAAAAATAATATTAAAAATTGACGTGGACAAAGGGGATGACATTTCCATTGAAGGGAAAAGGGAAGGAAAAGCTGAAGCTAGCGTGGCATTGAGTTGGCAAAAGGAAATAGGGGAAGACACACATGATGGCCTAGTTAGGGAAGCGAGTTCTCCATTGGCTTGAGTGGTAGGAAGCTTACTACCTGCATAGTATTAACTTGAGCGGGTATTAACTTGCGTCATTAGGTTGAAAAAGTATGAACAAACAATGACTGATCCAGAAAAAAATGTGACTTCAGCAATGTCATACTCCTATTCTATAAAACTCTTCCCCTTTCATAGGACTTTCATGTTTTTATTCTCCGAAATAGGACTTACATTACCAAACATGGTCATGTACGTTACCAAAAAAGTATAGTAATGTGCACATGTACAATGTCACATTACCACAATGCAAAATCCTATTTCGGGGAAAAAAACATGAAAGTCCTGTTTTGGTACTTTTCTCTATGTTTTAATCCCATTTATAGTGATTTTTATAGTAATAACACTAAAAATAATTAGAAAATGAGAAGAAATTAATCAAAAGTAGTAAAAAACAACAATGCTAAGTTCACGAACAGAATGGTCACAAATTTATCATTTATGATCGAAATTTTCATTTTAAAACTATTTTACACTATTTAATTTTTATTGAAGTTCATATATCGTAAGTTTGTGAATTTTATCATTATTTTATTTGTTAATCTAACATTTCTATAAAAAAAACAAAGAATACAACTGAACTGGGTGAGCGGAAAATGTGGAAACGTAACAAACAATAGCTAATTAAGGAAAAACCCTCGGAACAGAACACTGGCTCCTTTAGATTATATCCCTACTTAAACTCAAACAAACAATAGTCCCATTTGCTTTGATTTGCTCATCATCTCTCTTGCATGAATATGGTATATATATAACTCTTGATACATACCATTATAAGATCATTATATATACTCTATTATATATCCCGATTTTAATATATATACTAGGAGATTACGCGCGTAAAAAAAGAGTACATATATTAAAATAAATATAATAATGGGATCTGTAGTGGTGGGTGACATGGATGTATCAGAGGCGCCACCGACCACTCAAACTGATTCCAATCCCGCCCACTCTCCCATCTTCAACACTGCAACCCGTCAAGTTACTTTGAAGGTAAACTCACCATTTACCGAACTTGTTCTACGTTTTTTATGTTTAAAATACGAGTGTTCATATTATTAAATGACTATGTTAATATTGTTTGTTTGTATTTAACATAGGGATTATTTTTTTGACATTATAGTTGACATTAAAAGTCATATTTTTTTGTATAAAAATATTTCTAATCTAGTTGTGGTATATCAAGCATGTTATGATCCTATTTGTCACATTTGTACACTAATTATTCTAGGGTAAGCTTAATCAATTTATTTTCTTAATTTCGTTATTCATTTGATAAATTTGTACGTGTTTTTAAATTTTATCTCAATTTTTAATTTTTCATGCAAATTAAATTAAAAATTAATTGAGTCAATCATTATAATTTGTTAGATCCAATTTGTTCAGTGACGGAAGGGTATATACCGAAAAATACACGTGATTATTAATCCCTCCATCCTCTAAATTAAATGATCTTTAATTTGCAATTGTGGTTGGTATTTCATGTGGTTAACTTTATAAACATGGATAGTGATTTACTTTAAAACTACATCGGGTTATAATAGTATAAAATTAGGGCTAATGCCAGTTTACAAAAGGGTACCAAAACACATTCTATTTTCAAGAATTATTTGTAAAGAGTGTTTCTTTGGTACATCGTATTTTTGTGAATCTTCTTACGTTAAAAATATTTTTTTATTTTTTAATTTAAAAAAGTAATTTCTTATTTAAGTAGTAAAAAATATTGTAGGTTCATGGTGAATCTTAGACCCACCATAGAATTTCTAAAACCCATTTGTAAAACCCATATTTAAGTAGTAAAAAATGCTTCTTTAATTATGTCATTCTTCCTTCAAGTTATGAAGTTTCACTTTTTATTTTTAAATTTCTTTGTTTATACAAATAATTAAAATAAGTGAAATTTGCACTAAATAGGACTAAAACATAAGTCATTTCCTAATATAGGACTTAAACTTTTTTATTTCTTAAATAGAATTTAATAATGTCTAGTAATAGGAATAATGTTCAATAATGATGGACATTTACTTGAATAATGACTAATTGATAATGACCAAAGGTCCTACACTTGGAAATAAAAACATATGGTCCTATATCGGAAAAATAATTATGTTTTAGTCTTATTTAGGTAAATTTCTCTTAAAATAGCACACACACTCTCCATCTCAAATTTAAAAAAATTTATTTACTTATTTTTCAAAACATAATAATTTTTAGAGAACGTTGCAAAATAAATTAAAAATAGGAAAATGAAATAAAATACTCTATACGGAGTAAAAGAAAAAAATGTAATTAAAGAAAAAGAAAAAAAACTACCTCTTTTATTTCAAGTAAAAGTGAAATAAATAAAATAAAAATAACATAAACTCACTCCATCTCAAATTAAAATTCTTTACTTATTGAGTATTTTTCAAGATTAAAAACAGGGATTTAAAAAAATAAAGAATAGAAAGATGAAATAAAATACATGAGTAAAATAAAAAGGTAGTTATTTATTTTTTTTTTACTTCTTTTTCATCCTTTTTTCTCTTACTTTGTAAATTGTATTTTTTTCTTTTTTAAATTTTTTTGTAAGGTTTCCCAAAAAAAATTGTTTTTAGTGATAGTTTGACTAAGAACATGTTTAAATTATTCCGTATAAATAAATAAATATTAAAAACAGAACATATTATACATTAAAACATACCTATATTTCAATATTATTAAAGTTACACATCTACTAGTATATTGAAGCCAAATTTTAAAAAATGTGAAATTTGCACTGAATAGGACTAAACATAAGTCATTTCCCAATCTAGAACTTAAACTTTTTTATTTCCTAAATAGGATTTAATAATGACTTGTGAGAAGAATAATGTCCAAGTGATGCTGGACTTTTAGTTGAATAATGACTAATAGATAATGACCAATGGTCCTATATTGGGAAATAAAAACATATAATCTTATATTGAGAAAGTAATTATCTTTTAGTCTTATTTAGGTAAATTACTCGTCTTATTTTTATTATTTTTAATATGGAACATAATTTAATGAGGAATTTACCTAAATAGCACTAAAACATAATGACTTTTCCTAAATAGCACTACATGTTTTTTTTCTCAATGTAACATTTTTAATCATTATCCATTAGTCATTATTCAAGTAAATGTTTGCCATCACTGGTCATTATGGACATTATTAAGTGCTATTTAGGGAATAAAATAATTTAAGTGTTATTTAGAAAAATGACTTAAGTTTTATTGCTATTTAGTGCAAATATTTCTAATTTAATTTTATTACGTACGGAGTATTAACATTAAAAACTTGGCATTAATGCAGTTTGAAAATGTGGTTTACAAGATTAAACCCACAAGGAAAGAAGGTTGCCTATCGTTATCTAAAACGAAGAAACAGAAAGCGGAAGGGGAGAAAATGATCTTGAAAGGGGTAACAGGAATAGTATTTCCCGGCGAGGTTCTGGCGATGTTGGGCCCCTCGGGGAGCGGCAAAACCACGCTCCTCACAGCGCTAGGCGGTCGTCTGGGCGGGCGCCTGAAAGGATCCATTACCTACAACGGGAAACACTTTTCGAACGTGATGAAACGCAACACCGGTTTCGTCCCCCAGGACGAGATCATGTACCCCGAGCTCACGGTCAGGGAGACACTAGTCTTCGCGGCGCTTCTACGCCTGCCTAGAACAATATCTAGGCAGGAGAAGATTGCCCGGGCCGAAGCTGTGATAGCTCAGCTCGGCCTGGGCAAGTGCAAGAACAGTGTGGTGGGGGGCCAGTGGAGGAGGGGGGTTTCGGGGGGAGAGAGGAAGCGGGTGAGCATCGGGCAGGAAATGCTGGTGAACCCGAGCCTGCTGTTGCTGGACGAGCCGACGTCGGGGCTTGACTCGACGGCGGCGCAGCGGATCGTGAGCACCATGCGGGGGCTGAGCCGCGGCGGGAGGACGGTGGTGATGACCATCCACCAGCCGTCGAGTAGGCTGTTTTATAGCTTCGACAAAGTGATGTTGTTGTGTGAAGGAAATACATTGTATTTCGGGAAGGGGTGTGAGGTGATGAACTATTTCTCCGGCATTGGGTTCTCCCCTTCGGTCTCCATGAATCCTTCCGACTTCTTGTTAGACCTCGCAAACGGTATCTTCCGAATCCTTAGCTTGGACTCTACTAAATACTCCTTCTTCTCTAAATAAACTTTTCTTTTTAATTTTTTGAGGATTTAAGGAAGAGATATTTTTGTGTTGACTTTCCAAAAATACCCTTGATGTGATGTGTAAAAGTAAGATGTGATAGATAGATTATTAGTAAAAAAAGTATGATGTGATAGATATGTTATTAAAAAGTAAGGGGTAAAAGAGGTTTTTTAAGGGAAAAGAGAAGTTTATTTGGGGACAAAGAAAAAAACGTAAGAGCAAGTTTATTTAGGGACGGAGGGAGTATCTGTTAGGGAGTATTTGTCTATTTTTGATTTTTTAGTCAAAATCAGTACATTTTAAACTTAAATAAAATAAAAGTAATATGTAGTATTGATAAAAAATAAATTTATTAGATTTATTAATTATTATATAAATTATTTTCAAAATATTATTTTATCTAATTAATATACGATTTATATTTTATTTAATTATATGTCAAAGGTTGAAAATAGATGATTGAAAAAAGTTAAAACTGAATAAGTATCTTCACACAGAGGTGGTGATATTTTCATATTTGACTAATTGTTTTTTGAATTATTTTTATATAAGTATTATTGTAGGATTAACAAATGGATAACTAGACTATTCCATTTTAAAAAATAAATAATGATAATAAATAAAAAGGAGAATATATTTTGACTATTCAAATTATAGATGTGAAGATTATTTCAGTCGGATGACAATATAAAATCTAAAAAAAGTAGGAAGACAATATTATTTAGACCTGGCAAAACGGGCAGGTCGGGTTCAGGTTCGATATTATCAGGTTTGGGTTACTTCGGATTCATGACTCAGAGTTATCGGATTCAGATTGACACAGGTTAATACCGAACTTGAACCACATGTTATTTACAAATTTAAGCACAATTTATCTTTAATTTATAACTTGTAATTATATAGTGATATCTCTTTGTGCAACAATAATTGCATACATATGAACTGACTTCTGTCTCCCTCTTTGTCGTCTTCAAAATTACAATTATAGAAAAAATATTCTATGATTTCCTAAACAATATTTATAATTTGAATTTTTAAAATTTCAAATATCAGAAATAAAGTCTAAGATTCTAAATGGATTCTAGTCACCAAATATTATCTAATACGGAGTACTATTTATTTTAGTCAATTTCGTAATTAATTCTTGATGTTAGAAAAATATATGAACATTCAAGAATCTAAATAAATCCTAATAGTAAAATATAATAAGATTTATTCGAGCCCAAATATAATTAAAAAATCTAATACTTCTAAAATACTTTTAAAAATCTAATACCTTTAAAATCTAAATTGATATACCCAGGTGTTCTCGATGATGATCAATCGTCATCGCCAAATCCAATTCAAGTTAAAGAGACGTTGGTTTCCGCTTTCAAGGCGAATCTTCAAGACGCGTCGAAAGAGGAGCTGCAACGTGAAACACCACTACATGACAGTAATGAGGTTTCTCCGAGCAGTTCAGGCGAGGAGGAGAGGCATTTCAATGGGTGGTCAATTCCATGGCGAGAGCAATTCTCGGTGCTTCTTAAGAGGGGACTGAAACAGCGCAAGTCTGAATCCTTCTCCGGCCGTAAGGTTGCCCAGATTTTGGCGGTGGCTTTACTAACCGGCGCTTTGTGGTGGAGATCTATTGACCTGCAAGATCAAGTATGTGCCCTCCGCCTTTTGTGATTTACCAATTAATACTAAATCTATAAAAACACTTTTCTGGGAGTCAATGTTAGGGGTACACCAAATGATGTAATCTATTTGTACATCAAATGATGTACTTCATTTGTACACAAAGGATATGACAGACGCACATAGACCTACACTTCAATGTCTGTGCACGCACGGATATTGAGTATGCCCGAAATATGCACCAGCTTCTCACAGACACATACAGACACCTATTGTCTGTGTTTGGTATAGACATTAGGTGTCTCTACGTGTCTCTGACAAGTTGGTGTACACTTGGGACAAAGCAACTTGGGATACCTTTATGTTTTTCCACTTCGAAATGAGGTTAAAATAAGTGGATACTTGTTAAAATTATACAATTACATACATAGTGTTTTAATAAGTTACAATAGTTTTATAGTAAAACAATAACAACAACAACCCAGTTAAATCCCACAAGAGTAGGGTCTGGGGAGAGTGTGTGTACGCAGACCTTACCCCTACTCGAAAGTAGAGAGGCTGTTTCCAAAGAGACCCCCGGCTCTAGTTGTATAGTAAAACAAGTCTTTTAAATGGGTTTTGACTTATTATCTTCAGCAATACTTATACCATATTTCGAACCTACTTTTGATAATTCACCATAATTTTTATTTAATTAATACGTAAAGTAAATAATTAATTTTAGACAAATAAAAATAAAAATTTAAGCAACTAAACTTAGACGAAGGTAGTATAATAAAATACTCCTTGCACCTTATCTCACATCATCATTCAATTTAAATTAGTTTTTGTGTCTTAGAGTTTTACAAATATTGTTCTAATGGGTAGCGTGTACATGTATGCAGATTGGGCTTTTATTCTTTTACTCATCATTCTGGGGATTCTTCCCACTATTTCAAGCAATTTTCACATTCCCAACAGAAAAAATGATGCTAAAAAAGGAGAGGTCTTCGGGGATGTACAGACTCTCATCGTTCTTCGTGGCCAGGACCGCATGCGACCTTCCCATGGAACTCGTCCTGCCCACCGCTTTCGTCCTAATAACTTATTGGATGGCGGGGCTAAAACCCGCCCCCCTCAACTTCCTCTCCACCCTATTTGTCATCCTACTATGCGTGTTGGTCTGCGAAAGCCTCGGGCTGGCCATTGGCGCGTTCATGATGGATCAGAAGGCAGCTGCCACTTTTGGGTCCGTGGTCATGTTATCGTTCCTTCTTGCTGGCGGGTTTTACGTAAGGCAAGTCCCGTATTTCGTAGCTTGGATCAAATACATATCGATCGGGCAGTACACCTTTAAGCTCTTGTTAGAGGCGCAGTTTAAGCCGGAAGAGACGTATCGGTGTTCCTCGGAAGGAGGCATTTGTGGGGTTAAGAATCATCCTTCTATTGAGAAAGTAGACCTTGGGAAACATGTGACCTTTTCTGTGCTTGCTTTGCTCATCATGCTTGTGGGTTACAGAGTACTTGCATATGTTGCCTTAATGAAAGTTGGGAGAACTAAGAAGCTAAAATAGTTTAATTCACTCCATATTTGATACTTTGATAGTACTTGGCAAGGTTTTATTGGCCATATTCACTTTCTTAAAACCTCAATTACGATGTGTTTCGAATTCTATATTTCTTTCTCTTTAACTTTAATAGTTAGGAGAATAAGTGCTTGCATTGCATACTAAAACATGCTTTTTCAAAAAGATGTTCCAATTCTGATGACTTTTAGGAAATTTAACCGAAGAATATTTTTGTTTTTGACTTTCCAAAAATACTCTTGAAGTGATGAGTAAAAGTAGGATGTGATGTATAGATTATTAATATAAATGTATACTGTGATAATTATGTTAAAAATTAGTAGAGGTAACAACAATTTCTTAATAGAAATGAGAAAAGTTTTGTCGGACAAGTAAGAAAATAAAGGGGAAAAAGTTTTTGGGACGGAGGAAGTATTGCTTATCATTCGCAAGTCATAGCAGTTTACTATAAACAAGTACTCTTTAAGTCCCATATTTTTTTCCATTTGACTTTTCACGATAGAATATAATATATGATATCTCAAAATTACGTTTTGAAATTAATATCTTGATATTGAATCTATATTATAATTATTCAATGTGTTTTTTTAATAATTTATTGTCAATGTTTTAAAATGTTGACCACAAAAGCTCGAAGAAAGATCAGGGGAGGAGTTATAAATAGATCCCTAACACAACGATACCACAATTTTTTTTTTTAAAAGTACAAGTTATTAGCTATCAGAACTGAAAAACTTGAAGTAAAGTGAGGATACCCAAACTTAAGTGATTCTCTTGGTAGATCACAAACCATACAAAATATGAAATGCTAATAGCATACCGTGATGATATAGAACTAGTCCGAAGTAACGATGTGTTATATTTTTTCTCACGTTGTGAATGTATATGATCAGCATCACTCAAGTCTCAGGAAGTCAGGAAAATTGGTGTCAGCTCAAATATAACAGAAATCAGGGTCTACTTACTTTTATGTTCAATAAATTAAATGAAAATATCACACTTAGATGCAAAACAAGAGCATCCAAGTTAGATAATGTTAAACACTTAAACCCCTTGGGACCATGACAGGGCAATATACTCAAATTATATATGGTGATTTATATATCAAATATGTGAAAATACTAGCAAAATTATTATAGTTATATTTGTGCAGAAAAGTTTAAAGATGATAGAAAATATTATTTTGACAATAACTATATCTCATATTGTTAAAAATTAATACTCCTTTCGTCCCCCATAAATCTTCCCATTACGTGTTACGTGACTTGATCAACTTTATATTTTATTAAATTTATTTGATCTATGTGCAAAATTTTAAAATAGAACTTATATATTAAAAAAATACTAATTTCAAGCATTGACGTGACAAGATTATATTACTTTATGAATTAAGCTGCAGTAAAAATAAGTAAACAAAATGAGTTAAATTATACTTTATGAATAGTGTCTGGTAAAATCTATGAGGGACGGAAGGAGAATACAATATAGTATTGTTTTTAAAATGCGTGTGGGATTGTGTATGTAAAATTTGCACTGAATAGGACTAAAACATAAGTCATTTTCGGTCTCTAAATATATGATTAGACAATGAGACAAATATAGGGACAGATATTAGTCTCATCTCCTAATTCTTTGCCCTTATTCTTCGCCCCTCTCACCATACATTTAATAATATATACTTTTCTTTTCTTGAACAAAATATATAGGGAGTATGTGTGTATGTGTGTGTGTGTATACTTTTCTTCCTTCTCCCATAAAAATTTTATACTTTTCTTCCAACATCTCATATTCCTTATCTTATTTCTTTATATACCAAGCTAAAGTTTTACAATGAATATGATCATTCTTATATAATTGAAAATCTAGCGAGATATATTACAATCAATTCTTTTTCAGGTATATATGAAATTCTATTCACTATTAAATTTTGAATTATTGTGTACCTACTACTTACCTATTAATTAAAGTGTTGAAATTACAATTCAAATTTAATTTTTTTTATATTTTTAGTTTTATTCGATTTACAAATTGATTGAGATTATTTTAACTGAATTTATCAATACATTTTAAAAAAATTGTGTTTGTGTGTGAGTATATACTCCATGCATGTGAAATATATATTAACCTTGTGAAAAATATAATATATAGATATATGAATTGATCATGTGAAAAATAATATGTAATAATGTTTTGGGACTTAATGGTACAATCATTTGGATAGTATTAGTGTTTTAAAATATTTAATTTCAATATCATTGTGAATGTGTAACTTTATACACAGAGTATAAAGTATGAATATTATATGAACAATTTTTTTTTAAATAAATTCAATTTTTTATTGTTAAATAAAATAAAAACCAAGATTGCATACACACACACATATATATAGTTGATTGTGTGGCTATTATTATTATTTTAATTATCTATTATACTCATGTAAAATTACATATCATTGATTCATATGACTTAGATAGGATATTGGAAGAAGTCTCTCTACTTTCGAGTAGGGGTAAGATCTTGTTTGATTCACGACTTAGATAATTTATTATATGTATTTAAGGTGAATATCTATGGTGTACATGATTATAACTAGTTTAAACTATTGTAGGTTAGTTGACAAATGTCAAAAAGGCGAGAATGGATGAGAAGACGTTTGATGGAAAACGGGTGGATTAATCCGGAATTTTTATACGGTATGGAGGAGTTCATTAAAGTGGCATTTGCAGATAACCAAGATATGGTAAAGTGTCCATGTAAGAAGTGTCGGTTAAGATTTGTTTGGGCTTCAACAAAAATTGACAAGCATTTGCGGAAGAATGGTTTCATGGAGGATTATGAGACTTGGTATTGTCATGGTGGATAACTTAGGCCTATTGCTTGCCTAAATGTTCTTTACAAAGTCATCACCAAGATTCTTGCAAAACGTATGGCATCTATTCTCCCTGACTTGATTGACCCAGCACAGGGAGCCTTTGTTCCAGGAAGATCTCTCGTGGATAACTTTCTGCTTGCACAACACCTCGTCAGAGATTATGCTGTCAAGAGATCTACCCCTAGCTGCTTGATTAAATTGGATATAACTAAGGCCTATGATACTGTTTCCTGGAGTTTTTTAAAGGATGTTATGGCTGGCCTGGGCTTTCCTTCAAGATTTATCTCTCTTGTCATGGAATGTGTTTGTTCTGCCTCGTCTTCTATTATGGTTAATGGAGACAGTCACGGTTTCCTCCCAAGTAAACGGGGCTTGAGACAAGGAGACCCAATGGCCCCCACCCTTTTCCTTTTCTGTATTGAGTATTTTTCCAGATTACTCAACAAAAAGGCTAAAGAGGGGTCTTTTAACTACCACAAGGATTGTGCTGGTTTGGGCATCACGCACCTGGCTTTTGCTGATGATCTCATGTTGTTCTCTAGAGGAGATCTCCATTCTGTTCAAGTCTTGATGGACGCACTGGACCATTTCTCTAGAGTTTCTGGGCTGACCCTGAATCCCACTAAATCCAACATCTTCCTCGCTGGAAAATACAGGGACAGTAGTCATGCTCTTTTGGCTCTTGCCTCCTTTCCTCGTGGTCAGCTTCCTGTTAGGTACTTGGGCCTTCCTCTTGCTTCTCAAAGGATATCAGAGAAAGACTTTTCACCGCTCTTCAAAACTGTGGAAGGTTATTTGTCTAAATGGAGTACCCTTAAACTCTCTTATGCTGGGAGATTGGAACTGGTCAGGGCTGTTATACAAGGGGTGCAATCCTTTTGGCTTCAGGTGTTCCCGGTCCAAAAATACGTTCTTGACCGCATCACCTCCCTCTGTAGAAACTTCCTCTGGGGCAGTAAACTTGCAAAGGTGGCCTCCCACCTATAAACGTTTGGTTTCTGACTCCCCCCCGACCCGGAATTTCTATAATGAAGCACCTTGTTGCGTGAGAATACGTTTGAGGAAACCTTGGATCGTCGTTTCTTCCTGAGGAACACCCAATTTACCCACCATAATATCTATATTCAAGGCAATGATGTTTGGCAGTGGCAACCCAAGAAGAGGAATTCTGTTTTGCTCAAGAGGTTAGCCCATGTACGAGAGCTTTTGGTCCAAAAGCTGGCTAACTGTAATTCCAATATGGACATGGCTATGCAACCCTACTGTTCGGCAGGTTTTCTTATTCCCAGGAAGATCTATGATTTATTTAGGGCAAAGGCCAACCCCAAGCCTTGGATGGCTTTTATTTGGCAAAGTTTCATTCCTCCTAAGTGCTCCTTTACGATATGGCTAGCACTTAGGAGGAGACTGCCCACCAAAACCAACCTGGAATTCCTCGGAGTGCCCATGGAATGTACCTTCTGTGCTCAAGAGCTTGAAGATGTGGACCACCTGTTCCCTGCGCGGTTTCTAAAGACGTTTGGAGGGCTGTCAAAGACTGGCTACGGATGGAAGGGCAGTTGAGTACTCTCCCTAGAGCTATCAGGTGGCTGAAGGGCTTTAAAAGAGGAGATGGAATTCTCAAAAAGGCAAGGAAGATTGCCTTAGCATGCACGGTTTTCCACCTATGGAAACAGCGCAATGTTGTTTACTTTGATCATGAACCTCTATGTGTTGAGACTATGGTTTTTAAAATCAAGGTTATGGTCTTTTCCATTTTGGGGAGATTATGGCCTCTACGTACTTTTCCTTTCTGATGTTGTTGTATTTGCTGTTTGTTGGCCTGTGCGCCCTTGTTTTGAATTGATTACTTGTTTATGTTTGAACTTGGTGATGTTGCCATTTGTTTCTTTGGATTTGGTTTTACCATTTCCCAGCTCGGGTATGCCCGTTCTATTTGTATATCCTACTTTTTAATCTATTTACATTTTATCGTTGGTATTGTCATGGTGAAAGGTTAGGAAGCAAAACTAATTTTTTTCGTGGAGAGACGTCTAACATACAAATGGAGGGACTAGAAAATAAGTCAACAAATCTACATGAGTCTAATTTTGAGCAAATGGTTTTAGAAAACATGGGACCAATTTACGATTTTGATCATAGTGTCGAACATGGTGAATATAATCAAACACATTACGATGATGAGGACGATTATAATGATGGTAACGAGAATAATAATGACATTGAAGTTGACGAGAATAAAGACATCTCTGCAGAGCAATATTATAAGATGATTGCTGATTCATCAACAACATTATATGAAGGATGCCAAAAATTCACAAGATTGTCAATTGTGGCAAAATTATTAAGTGTCAAAAGTCAATACAATATGTCTGATACATGTTTCACCAAAGTAATTAGTACTTTCAAAGATGCCTTGCCCAGTGATAACAACTTACCACATAATTTCTATCAGGTGAAACAAATGATGAAAGGACTAGGATTACCGATGGTTAAAATTGATGTGTGTCCAAACAATTGCATGATTTACTACAGAGATACATTTAGTTTGACAGAATGTCCAACTTGTGGTTTATCTCGTTATATTGAATCTACCATGAACAGAGGTGGGAGAAAGAAAGCCATAGCAAAAAAAGTTTATCGTTACCTCCCCATTACCGATCGCCTAAAGCGTATGTACATGTCATCCAAAACTAACAACCAAATGACATGGCACTTTAGGAATGGGAGTATAAATAATGGCACAATAGGACATCCGTGCCAGGCAGATGCATGGAAGCATTTTGATGAATGTTATCCAAAATTTGATGCCGATCCTAGAAATGTTAGGCTTGGACTATGTACGGATGGTTTCAATCCAAATTCGAGTACGGGTAGTGCATATTCTTTATGGCCTTTATTCATCATTATCTATAATTTGCCTCCAGAGTTAGTTATGAAGGAACCATGTATACTGTTAGCAGGATTGGTTCCAGGGCCACGTAGTCCAGGACGAAGCATTGATGTATATTTACGCCCCATAATTGATGAGCTAAAGATATTATGGCGACGTGGAGTGCAGACATGGGATGTTATACGGTCAGAATACTTTACAATGTGTGCTTGCCTTATGTGGACCATAAGTGACTTTCCAGCATACGGTATGTTGTCTGGGTGGAGTACACATGGGAAGTTGGCATGCCCATATTGTGGTGATGGGCAAGGTTCATATTATCTAAGGAACAACCACAAACCATGTTGGTTTGATTGTCATAGAAAGTTTCTGTCATTGGATCATCCATTCCGACGGAATACAACAGCATTTACACCAAAATGCAGTGTGTCTGGTTATCCTACACCGGATATGTCTGGGTCTGAAATACTAGAAACATTGGAGAGATTTACGTTCCCCCCATTTGGAAGTACATATGATGACATTAAGGTTCCTGAATTTGTTGTCACACATAATTGGATAAAGAAATCTATATTTTGGGAATTACCTAACTGGAAGGATCAGCTTGTGCGACATTGCTTAGATGTGATGCATATTGAGAAAAAATAGTTTGATAACATTTTTTACACGGTCATGGATGTTGTTGGTAAAAGTAAGGATGGAGTGAATGCTAGAAATGATTTAGAAATAATGAATATGCGATGACATTTATGGTTATTTACAGATGGAAAACATACAAAAATGCCAAAAGCAGAGTACACATTAGAAAAGAAAAGTGCTGAAGATATATGCAAGTGGTTTAAAAATGTTAAAATTCCATATGGTTACGCTTCAAACTTGGGGGCTCAAGTGAACTTATCTAATAATACCTTTTATGGCTTCAAAAGTCATGATTGTCACGTAATTATGCAGCGACTTCTTCCAGTCGCACTACGAGGGGCATTAAATAACGTCATATGGGAGGCAGTTACAGAGTTCTATAAATTCTTCCGACTATTGTGTGTGACCAAGATTAAAATTGAGGAAATTGAAAATTTGCAGAAATTAATTGTTGTCACGCTTTGCAAACTAGAAAAAATATTCCCACCAAATTTCTTTGATGTGATGGAGCACTTAACTGTTCATCTCACACGAGAGGTAAGATTATGTGAACCTGTTAATTTGCACTGGATGTACCCCTTTGAGAGAGGGATGAAAAGTCTGAAACGTAAAGTACGGAATAAAGCAAGAATTGAGGGTTCAATAGTGGAAGCCTATCTCGTGCAAGAGATGAGTTTCCTGAGTCAACACTACTTTGAAATTACCCTTGGTACAAGAGTAAACCCAATACCTAGAAATTATGTGGTTTTTTCAACAATCGATGAAGATACGTCAGCAATTTTATCTATATTCAAAGTACTGACCCGAAATTTTCCTGGTCAAGGTGTAACACGTTACCTTGAAGATGATGAGCTTTAGCAAGCACACACATGTGTGCTTCTGAACTGCCCAGAAGTAACACCTTACATGCAGTAAGTTCCGTAACTATTCTATAATATTGTGTATATTAACTTATATTCCCTCCGTCTTATATTATTTGTTGAATTTTGACTTTTGGTAATCAACGAGAATCGACCTTTGCCCTATAATTAAATTAAAGAAAATTTACATGGTATATTAATTAGATAAAATAATATTTTGAAAATATTTTACAAAATAAATATAATAAATTAATTCTTTTATCAATATCTAATATGGATTTCATTTAATTAATGGTCAAAGTTTACCAATTTTGTGTACAAAAATTCAAAATTGGACAAATATTATAGGATGTAGGTGTGATTTAATTATGTAAATATGATAACTAACTAATGAAGAGGACATCTTTAGGCATTTTGAGTCTCTTCTTCGACAAACGTTCCCAATGTTGAGTAACCAAGAAGCTGATAGGCGGAGGAGAATAGGCTTTGCTAAGTGGTTTAAGTTATTTGCTGAGAGTTACCCAACACAATTGTCGAATTTGTTGTATGAGCTTTCTCGTGAACCACTTTTACGAGCACGATCTTATAGTGGATCTTTCAGTAACGGATTTCGTTTTCACACTTACGCATATGGAAAAACAAAAGTGTTGCAAATTGGGGCATTTCAGCTAAAGGTTATCAAGTCGATTACTATGGAATAATTGATGACATAGTTGAGTTGACTTATCTTGGAAAAGAACGCAATTACTCAATCACTCTTTTCAAAGGCACTTGGTTTGATCCTACCTGCGGTGTTCGTTACAATAAAGCATCTGGAGTAACTGATGTAAAGTGGAACTCTCGTCTCAATCCACCTGACGAGCCTTTCCTCTTAGCAAGCCTTGCACAACAGGTGTTTTACCTCGAGTACCCCCATAGCTCGTTTCGTTCTTAGCGCACTGTTATCATAACAAAACCAAGATTTCGCATCGACTGTGATGTCATAAACACAAATGGAGATGACACTTCAATCGAGCCTCTTGAAGATGATCCATTCCAAAATTTTATGGAATGCGTCCAGAGAAAGTTGTTTATTTCTTCTCTCTTTGATGCCGAATTGCTAGATAGACTTGAATCCGCAATAGCTTTTCCAGGCGCTCATGCTAATTATGAAGCTCAAGTGAATTCTGGTGAAGTCGATTTAACACTGCATTTGTGAGATAGGAATAAGTAATTGAAGTTTAGTCCTTCAGACACCCACTATGGTTAATTTTGTTTGGATGTACGTTATTAACTTAATTTTGTCACTCTTTGGCTTTGTATTTGTAATGCTGAATTCTATTTTGTGTTCATTTATAAATACGTAATCTCTTTAATAAGATATCTGCCTTTGATCATTTTTACATTAAGTAAAGTACATGTTTTTTGCCCAATTCTCTTTGTAATATGCTGCTCCTATTTTTGTATTTTTTGTAGCATTTGTTCATAAAAATAATTCATCTTCAAAGCTGAAAAAACTTGGAAACGGATAGAAATGTTTAGCTCATCACCACTGTTGATAATATTTATATTCTGTTCATAACATATCTATTGAAAACAGAGTATAAGTGGTACACTCTCTTTATCAACTTGAGCACTGCATATTCTGTCTAGTGTTTGAAACATGCAGTGAGGTTTTTTTTCACCCATGACTAGTTTGTCTAATTTTTGTAGTGCGTTGTGGTGGTGTTATGCATCATTTAATGTTGAGATGGAAATTGGATTTGGCTTCTTTTGGAATTGAAAATCAATCTCCTAATTAGATACCAAAGTGCATGACGAACAAACCAATGAGTAAAACGACCAAAGACGAAATGAATTATAATAAAAGACTAAATGGATTATAAAATGGGTGGTTTGGATTGAATTTTAAAAATTAAAGGTGGGGATTAATTGGTATAACAATTGGTGTATGAAGAGTTGGTGTAACATTACCTTCTCCCTATTTTCACTAACCAAATAAACAACTCTGCTCTTTGTGTGTGTCTTATTGAGGTGTTCATTCTACAAGAAAGGAGAATTTATACAATGAATTAAAAAGTACATTGTTAAATTTGAGGGTGTGATGGTAGAAATAGAATTTTAAAGAGTAGTTGAAACTTGATCTATCTAGAATTTTCAAAACAGGATTATCCTCGTATGGGTAGAGGGGGAGAGAAGCGTCGAGGTACAGGCACTCTGAAAAACCCCGATTTTGATAACACATGGCTTAATGCTCTTTTGGAGAGTGATTTAAGTTTCAGGGCTGAATGGAATTCAGACAATGTAGTTTCTTCCATACCTCTTCAAAATGAAGAAAACACTTCAATCGCCCCTTCTACAAATCACTTGGCACATGGTAGTATTGGTGGTTCACAATCTCCCCTTCCCATTGGTGAAACACAAGGAATAGAACCTCCAAAACAAAGGAAGGAACAAAGAAATGAAGATGAACGAATGGTTATTGTCCTCGGGGAGTAAGAGATTTACATTGTGTATTAATTTATTTTATCATTGTTTTTTCTATCAATTACTTTAATATCATAATATGTTTGCAGTTTTTCAGTGGATAAAACTGTTCGTGAAGAAGTCAAGCGCATCAACAAAAGGTTGTTTGACGGAAAGACCACTAGATTCTTAGGCATCCAAAATGCTCCAGATATATATTGGAAATAACTTGAGGCAAGTTTTTGTATAAATAAAATAACATGGTGATACATTGTATTTTACATCTAAATCTTGTTACTTAATGTGATGTTAATATACCTTTATTCAACAGCAACGTTTTAGATGGGCTCCTGAGCATCACTCTAAAGTTTGGAAGAAGTATTTTGGATTGGTTGAAAGTGCATATCGGAGAAAAATGAATCGAATTCGAACAAATATTATAAAGAAATCAATCCCAGATTTTAAACCAGAAGAAGATTATTCACGTTTAATTCCGTTTCGACCTGAGGAAATAGAGGAGCAAAATTGGAGAAATTTATGTGCTGTTTGGAATACACTAGAGTGGAAAAAAAATCCAGAGCGGGTTCGACCAATCAGAGAGGCATTGTTCTTGAAGAAATTATTTCTTCCTTATTTTTTTTTACTATTTTGTTATGGTACCCTCTTAGTTAATTGAGAACATTTATACATTTCAGAAATAAGCTAACATTTATTATTTCATCATTTATTTACATGTAGGCAAGCTACTTGATGGTGAGGTTACAACAAGAAGTTCATTGGGCACCAAGACAAAGTCTCAATTACTACAGGAAATTGTAAGAGCATGTAGTAATGTCTATGTCGTTAACTATTATTCACCAAATGTCTTAATATATTTTTTTATAGTCTGCTCAACTTGGTCGTCCATGTCGCTTTGATGAGTTATTGCTACAAATGTGTACAAATTCGAAGACAGGTCGACCATTTCAGACTCACCATTATCAAATTTTGGTAAATCACTATGTACTTTTGTGTTTAATTTTTCTTGTAAACAGGCCTGACTAAAAGCCCAAGAGCAACCTGAGCTGCTGCTCAGGGCCTAGGTTTGGTAGGGACCCACTTTTTTAGTTATTCTAATACTTAACAAGTTGTGAATTAATTTTGTGGCATCATACAATTTTTTAGGGCAATTGGCTTTTCACCGCACCTCACAGTACTAGAAGATTAAAATTGAACCTAAGTACTTTTGATATTTTATTCTTATTCTAATTTTGTTTTTAAATCATTAATTAAATATGTTTAAAAAGACATGATTTTTAAAAGTTAGAGCATAAAAAGAAGAAAATTAATTTTAGCTCCGGGCCTATAAATTTTAAGAAACGACCCTGCTTTTAAATGATATATATTTGACATTTTAACAGGAAGACTATTGTAAAATTGTGTGTGCTAAAAAGGAGAAGATCGGGGTAAGTGGCCAGTCTTTGATAGAGATGCTTGGATTCAAGCCACTGGCGGAGTGCAAAAGGGGGATCAATGGATAGGTGTCCCATTGCAATTTTCAGACCCCGTGGCATTTCATCCAGCCCATGAGACCCCAAAGGTAAAAATTATTTTTTTGTAGTTCTTCATGAACAAAAAATGTTTACACTGCGTTATCTTATAGAAAATGAAAAGTGTGAGCTTTATTTAATTAAGAAATGACACAACATATTAGTAAAATCAACTTGTGTGTCTAGATAGGACCATTTAAGTCTTTCACCCTAAATATGATGATTTGTTCTAACACTTGTTATTCTAAGATTGACTTGGTACTGGAGATAAAGCACTAATGTGATTCTTGTGAACAATATTGACATTTTTGAGTTGTATGAGTGTATCTATTCTTTTTTTACATTGCAATTAATTTACTTATGTGTTATATGTTTTTGGAAATGTTAGGTAAGGAGAATAAAAGTGAAGTCGAGCGTCTCAAAGAAGAATTGGAGGAGAAAGATGCAACAATGAAAGTGGAAATTGACAAATTACAAAAAGAACTCGACAAGACAAAAGGGCTTCAACAGAAAGAAAGAAAACATCGTCGTGAGGTGGTTCAAGTGTTGGAAGATTTTAAGAAAAGGTTCAATTCTTTGAATGCTTCAATGTTCAATATTCACCGTAGACTAGTAAAAAAAGGTCTAATCGAAGAATGTGAGATAAATCCTATGTCAGTAGCCAATGGATCTAGAAGCCAGAATAAATCTTTCCGCCATTCAAAGACGAGGAACTCGAGAATTCATAGTCAATTTAAATCAGTGTGTGACGATAGCGGTGATTCAAGTGATTCATTAACCTCCAACTTTGATGAAGAGTCTGATTAGAAGGTGAGGACCTTTGAAATTTAAATGAAATAAAAATATTATTATATTTCTTTTATTTTACTATCAAGTGTGTAATATGCTTGTATCATATTGATGAAGGAGACGCCCATTTCATTTGGAGGAGCTAAGATACTGAAGGTCAGAATTCATTAATAAATTAAATCAATTGTTGTTCTTCTCTAAATTCTGTTTTTTTCCTTAAAAAAATAAGCATCTCCTGTGATTGACTCATAGCTATTAAAAAAGTACTCACTTCATTATGGAGTTGAAAATTCACATCTTCATCCTTATGGTTGGTTATTAACTTGTTGGAAAAGCTTGCATTACAATTTGACATATTTAGTTAATAATGCAGAATCACATGGACTTTAATACTTTTCATGTTTTTTTAATGGAGTGTTTTGCTTGAGCAGGTATTATATATTGATGGTGTTGCAGCTCGTTTTACTACCTTGGACTAGGCAATAGATTGTGCTAATGAGATGCTTGCAATTCGGACTAAGCAAATTATTTTTGTTCGTTTGAACCACTTTGTCAATTCTATTATGCACTCTTGTTGATTTCTTAATTTTGTTGATGTAAAAACATATTCTCTAATGTTTTTTTATTTCTAATTAAAGAAATGAATGTGTGTATGGTTGTTATTAATTGGTATGTAAATCCCCCTCGGGTGTCCCACACCCCCACTGCCACCAAAAAAAATAATATTTTATTTTTTTTACATTCAAACTTTGAGAGACAAATTTCTGTCTCAAGACTAAGCTGCCATTTTGCTACCAGCTGTAGATATTGTTGGGCTTTGTGGAGGCTTGTTTGTCGGCCCGGCCCAGTTGTGCGTAGCCCTAACTATTTCCCCATATATAGAGGGCTTGTATTTGTAATCTTTGCACCACAAGTGAAATAGAAATCCTCCTATTATAGCCGTGGATTAGGAAAACTGAACCACGTTAAATTCTTATGTGTCGTCCGTGTTCCGTTTCTCTCTTGATTCTCAGAGATATTTGTGTGTGTTGTGTGTTTTATTCCCAACAAGTGGTATCGAAGCGAGGTTGTTCGACACGAGAACACAAATTGCTAGAAGTTTGTCGCCTAGGGTTTTCCAGGTCTGTTCGTCTGCAGCCCCAGCCGTCCAAATCGTTGGATCGTTGAAGAGTTGAGTTTGCTGCTTCCTTTGCACTCGGACACGCAGCAGCGAAGGAGATCTGCCGTTGTGTGGGGAAGCCGCCGCCTCTAAGAACCTGTCGCCGCTGAGAATCGGTGGTCGCTGACGGGGGAAGCCGTTGAGGAGTCGCTGCTGTCCTGTAGTTCGATAGGAGATCTACGCGCAGCCCCGAAACACCGTCAGCCGCCGGGAGCAACGCCGACCAGATCGGGAAAGTTGGTGCCGCCGCCGCGTCGAGCTCTCTGATCGCGTCCATCAGATCGGGCAGGTGCAGCGGGCAGTTGGTGTCGCTGCCGCCCAGTCGAGAGCCTCCATCGTCTAGCCGCCGTGTTGGTGCCGCCGGACAGAAGCTCGAAGGTCATTGCCGCTGAGTGCCGAACTGATACAGCAGCCAAAGGAGAAAACAAAAAAAGGGTTTCTTTGGACTTTTGGCAGGTACAAGATCGGCAGAAGGAAAAAAGGGGTAAGAGAAAAGAAGGGCTAGTGGGCTATTCTTTTTTCCTCTAGGGCCGTAATTTTTCTTGTGGCTGGATATGGGGCTAATTTGGTTTGGACATATTTAATTAGTGTGGTGGGCCTGATTTTCTGATGAAATTACCAAGATCTGAAATTAGTTGTACCGGGTATCTCGTCTAGTCGTGTGATATGGCAGAAGACGGGAAGTTCCGAATTGAGAAGTTCGATGGTACAGATTTTAGTTGGTGGAGGATGCAAATTGAAGATTTGCTCGTTCAGAAAGATTTGGATGTGGTATTGGGTGACAAGCCAGAAAAGATGTCGGATGCAGATTGGGTAGGTTTGGATCGGAAAGCAATGTCTGTGATCCGTCTCTCGTTGACCAAGAATGTTGCGTTCAACATTCTGAAGGAGAAGACAACGAAGGGAATTATGGAAGCGCTGTCTAACATGTACGAGAAGTCATCTACAGCGAACAAAGTTTTTCTGATAAGAGAGCTGGTGAACACAAAAATGAAAGAAGGCACTTCAGTTACCGAGCATATCAACAAGTTGAATTCGATCTTAGACAGACTATTGTCAGTGGGCATTAAGTTCGATCACTACAAGAAAACGCGAAAAAAACGACGGATTATAGCGACGGAATGCAATTCGACGCTAACGACGACGGATTCAGCGACGGAATTTTACACCTACCAAACTTTACAATGGAATCAGCATTCCGTCACTCCGTATTGGTGGGAGGTAGTGCGCGGCATATTAGACGACAGAAATAATGACGGAAAAATTCCGTCGTTAGTTTGGTGACGGAAAAATTCCGTCGGTAAAAGAATATAATTGAAATGCTGCGTTTTGAGCTGGCAACGGAAAAATTCCGTCGCTAAATCCGTCGCCAAAAACAGATCTAAAAACGGGAACTCCTCTCAGTTTCTCCGATTTCGCAGACAGAAACCACGAAGAGTTGTTGTGTAGTTTTGTCTCCTCCGCGACGCCTTCCGCCACCATCATCCTCCGGTTGCTGTCAAATCATCTTCTCCGTCCGCCACCATCAACCGCCGGTCGTCTACCCATCTTCCGTCACCGTCCACTTGAAATCTCAGGTTTTGTTTTTCATTTTTTCATCTTTTATTCAATTTCAATTTCTGAATTAGTTTGTTTTTAATTATAATTGTATTGCTTACATTAGGGGGTTTTAAGTTAACATATTTTGTTTATTATTACAAATTTAATTTTAATTTTATAATTATTTTAGATTAGGGTTTGCTTTTCAAAATTTAGTCATTTGTTTTTAAAAAAATTAATTATATTCTTGAAAGTTATAGTGAATGAATATCGTGTTTATTAATCATTTATATATTGTAACTTTTATATGAGGAATGAATTTATGCTAATTAATTGTTTAATAGCATATTTTGGATATTATTAATGTTATATGAAGATTGTATATGTATCATGTATGTTATTGAATATTGTGGTTGTTCCATTTATATTTTTAATGTTTTTTTTAATTCTATAAATTAATAATATGTTAATTTTATTTTTATGAATCTCTAAGAATAGTGACTTTCACAAAAATCGGAATTGGATGTATAAAAGACTTGGTAGTTCTTGTTTTATAAATACATATTGGATTTTATAAATACAGATTGAGTTGTGCCAAACTTAGATTCAAGTCTGGAATGTGAAATTTTCACATGTAAAAATTTCTATTGAATTTCTATTTGTATATTTGTATTAATTGTTGTTAAACAGTATTAGAAGACAACAAAGTTCTTGGCATCCTCCAAGCAAAACAAGAAAAATCGTCGTGGTGGTGACGAGAATGCCCCTGCTAGCGCCACGCACACCGGTGGTCTGTTGTCTTTTCGCGAGTCTCAAGCACGCCTTGTAAGTATTATTAGTAACATTATTTTCATTTAAATGTTTTAACTGACATGTTTACACTTATTTATATATTTTATTGTTTTAGGGTAAAAGTAGACAAGCTTCTGACTTGTACTCTTCGTACACACACACATACGAAGAAACATGATGGGAAGACCTACGTCAATATGAAGACATAAAAAGTATCAGTAAGTGACAATGAATATATATTGTATATATAAATGGTTAGTTTTCATTGAATTCAATTGGATGTGAATTCATACTACTCTACTTATTTTGCTTTTTATGTTAATATATATACATGTATGTTTGGTGTATTGCAGCAAAACTACGTAGTCACGCAGGAGGCAGTTCGAGAATAATGCTTAAATGTGACACGTGACCAGATTTTTATATCTACAGTCGGAAGACATGATGCCAAAAATCGTGTTCATGGTGTTGGAGATCTCGCACGAAGCCTACCACGAATGCATGCAAGTGAGGCAAGACGTGCTANAAGTGCGTGAACTATTGTCGATTATAGAAGAGATGACCTGATGAGATACGGGGTTTGCACGCGCTTGTTGAATATTTTATTAGAATTGAAGAACATTATATTAAACTTAAGTTTGATGGTTATGTAAGTGGAGTTAGATTTGATTGTTAAGTTGAATTTTTATAAATATTATTTGAATTTTAATTGTAGTTTGGTGATTTGAATATTCTTGGTTGTTTGGTATTCTTCATTTCTAGTATTTGTTGTTGTTTGATGCTGTGGATTCCTGGGCTAGAGTAGGTTGCTATGGATGTTCTGTGAAATTGAAAAAATGGCAGCTTTCTGTATTCGTGCTGTAAAATTGGCGACGGATTTGGCGATGGAATATCATTTCCGTCGCTGTATGGTCAAAATGCAGAAACGGTAGCTAAAACCGTCGTTAATCTTAGCGACAGAAATTTTCCGTCGTTAATTCCGTCGCCTCATTCCGTCGCTAATTCCGTCGTAGCCTAGCGACGGATTAAATAATCCGTCGTTAAACTTATTACTAATGAAAAAATAACGACGGAATACAAACCGTCGTTGTTTCCGTCGCTAGGCCGATTCCCTACGGAAATCAAGCTTTAGCGACGGAATAATTCCGTCGCGATTTCAGCAGTTTTTTGTAGTGGATGATGAAGTTCAAGCTTTACTACTGCTATCGCCTTTACTTGATAGTTGGTCTGGAACGGTTACTGCAGTTACCGGTTCAGTGGGACCCGATGGATTCACCTTTGATGAGATTCGAGATCTCGTTCTTGGCGAGGACGTCAAAAGAAAGAGTTCTGGGGAGTCATCTGGTGAATTGTTACATGTTGGTGGGAGCAGGAACAGACAAAGGAGTCAGTCGAACACTCGTGATAGCTCAGGTGTAACGTGCTGGAAGTGCAAGGAGGTGGGGCATTTTAAGAATCAATGCCCAAATGATAATAAAGTGAACATTGCTAAAGGCTCTGCGAGTGACGAGGAGGTCACTCTGACTTGCTGTGAGGAAAGCAATGTGGATTCCTAGGTCATAGATTCTGGTGCTTCATTTCATGCTACCCACAGCGGTGAAGCATTGCAGAATCTAGTTGTTGGGGACTTTGGAAAGGTACGACTAGCGGACGATAGTGCTCTTGATGTGACGGGCATGGGTGACATAGTGCTGAAGACCCCAGTCGGTTTCTAGACTTTGAAGGATGTCAGAGTTGTTCCAGCCTTGAAGAAAAGTTTGATTTCTGTCAGGCAGTTGGACGAACAGGGACATGAGGTGAAGTTCAGAGATGGGCAGTGGAAGGTCGTGAAGGGAAATCTTTTCATGGCCCGTGGAAAGAAGAGATGTTCGCTATATATGGTCGAGTTACCATCTGAGGGAGTGACCGTCCCAGTTCAGAAGAGAAACAAAGTCCGGTTCACAGAGTCTCGTGGGCAGAATAAGATTATCTATGCAAGAGAGAAACCTAGAGACATAGGTCAGACTCAGGATGAACGAGTGAGGAAAGGTTCAATGAGGCCAGTCAGAGGTATTTGTAGTAGTGGGAGCTCAAGAGGCGCTTCAGCCAAGTTGCCTAGAAGACAGTGGGTCAGAAGAACCAGTATTCCAGCTGTTGGAACATTTCCAGAAAATTTCTTGCTGAGTACGAAGATTGTTTATTCTCAGAATGTTCCAAGATCCGGCAGTGTGCGTCTGCAAAGGGAGCCGGTAGGGACCGAGGACGAGTCAGGGGCAGATTTTTCCGTGACTGATGTGTTGGAGCTTGGGAGAGCTTCAACGGGCCTTTCAGTTGTCTGATGATAGGGCCGCTGCAACAGGAGAGCTGAGGAAGATTACTCAATGTACATGCGATCGCGGCGGATGGCAGTTGATGATTATCAATCCTCCAAGTGGGAGAATGTTGGGCTTTGTGGAGGCTTGTTTGTCGGCCCGGCCCAGTTGTGCGTAGCCCTAGCTATTTCCCTATATATAGAGGGCTTGTATTTGTAATCTTTGCACCACCCCTGCCCCCACCAGGCGACCTCTACAGAATAAAGCTCTATAATGAAAATTTGGTTTTGATTGTGTAAAAGAACAAAAATGTTTTCGAAAATATTTTCAAAGTGTCTCAAAATATATTTGTTTTGTGAAATATATTTTCTAGAATTTATCAATTTAAATTCTAATTTCAAAAGATTGTATGCATTTTAAAATTTAAATAAATAAGAAATTCTGCCCTTTAAATTACAATATAGACAAATATTTAAAAAGTAATTGCTAGTTTGGTTTAAAAAAATTTGTAAATTAAAAAAAAGTTTCAAAATGCTAAAGTTAAAAAAAAGAACTTCTAGAAAGCATAGGGTTAAAAAAAATAGAATCTGAAATCTACCAACATAAAAAGAAAAAAAATGATATTGTATAAATACAATATAATTTTTTTAAAAAAAATTGAAGGGAGAAAGACCAAACTAGGACTAAAACATTGAAAATATACTAAAATAGGACTTCCATGTTTTTATTCCCGAAATAGGACTTACATTATCAAACATGGTCATATACATTACCAAAAAAGTATAGTAATTTGCACATGTACACTGCCACATTACCACAATGCAAAGTCACATTACCACAGTGCAAAGTCCTATTCCGGGAAAAAAAATATGAAAGTCTTATTTTGGTACTTTTGTCTATGTTTTAGTCCTATTTAGGATGATTTCTAAAAATTTAAACTTGACTTTATATGTGTCTAGTACAAAGTTAATCACGTATGAGTGATTATTTGGTGCATCTTGGATGCATATCATTTTTGTGGACCTTCTCACATAAAAAATCTTTTTTTATTTAAAATCCAAATACTTATTTATGTACTGAAGAAATACTTATTTTACTTATATGTAGGTCCATAGTAGACCTTAGATCAACCATATATTTTTCTATCACGTTTAAGATAAGTTAGAAGTTAATTTGGAAGTAATATAGAATGCCACATGTACACTATAAAAACAAGTGGAAGGCAACATATGCACTCGCGGACCCACCAGCTAGATTTTTAAAACTTTGTAAAAAGATACTTTTTGTTACAAGTTAAAGATGAAGTACTTCCTCCGTCCTAAAACTTTTTTCCCAGAGCACTATTCCAACTTCACGGGAATTTGTATTTATTTGTGTTTTTTCATGGCCTATTTGATAAAATAAAATATTCTTGTCACCACTTATTTTGTTCAACTTTTGATGTAGTTTTTAAATATGTAAGTTTTATTTTTTATTTCTATACCAATATTTAAATAAAATAGATTGAAAAAATTTGGAATTTTTCTTCGTTTTGTGCAACGAAAAGAAAGTTTTAGGACGGAGGGAGTACATTTTTGTTACAAAATTCAAAGTTGAGTTTCTACCAAGTTAAAAAGACGATAAAAAAGGCATTATTTTTTGGTTGCGAAATTGGGCTTGGATTTGGACTTTGGACGGAAATAAGCTCGCAGTTGCAGTGTCCTAAACACAGCCCAATCCGAACTTGGACCCAAAGATAATTCTAGAAGCATCTCGACAACAACACCGGAAGAACGACGGAAAACATCGGCCCCCGTAGAAAAATCCATTTTTCTTTTTAATTCTAAAAATCGAAAATTCTACACAAACCCCACTTTCTCTCACTGCCTTCATTTAAAACCCCCCTTCTTCCCCCTTCCGTATCACACTGATGCTTTTCTGTCTCTAGGCTGAATTCCGCCGTTGTTTGGGAGAGAGAGCTCTAGAGTTCGCCGGACCGCGCCTTTTCTCGCACTGTCCTTCCGGCGCCCTCGCCCTTCCGGTACGTTTGAATCTGATTTAAGAGCTCCGCGCTCACTGATTTCTCAGATCTGTGGATTTCTTATTTCGATTTCGTTCATGGCGTGTTTTGAAGCTCCGCGGACGCTGTATTTTGATTGTTTTTGATGTTCCGATTGAGTCCTCGTGTTGTGATGCTTGGATAATATTCGTATTCTTGTGATTCGTGCTTGCATTGTTTGTTGATTTGACCTATGCCCGTAGTTTCCTGCTTTTTGAGTGCAAAATCTGCTTTTGGTATTAGTTAGGCCTCGATTGTTATGGGGATTGTATCTCTATGCTTGTGCAAGACAGGAATTTTAAGTCAATGTTTTTGATCTTACAAATCAATGCTCGACCCATAGTGGTTGCATCTGATTTGGATCAATTCAAGCGTACAATGACATACCTGTTACTGTTCTTTGAGCATTAGTTAAACATCCAATCGCTTGATGCCAAAATGCATCAGTTTTCACTAAGATGTCACACTTGAAGTGAATTTGGAGTCCTTGATTTGGTTGTAATTGTTGAATATATGTTTCATGGCCTTTCAGGTTTTCCCTTCTGTTGGACTTTGCAATCAATTGTGCCCTACAAAGATGAGCGTGGTAGGGTTTGATTTAGGGAATGAAAGTGGTGTCGTTGCTGTTGCAAGACAGAGGGGAATCGATGTAGTACTTAATGAAGAATCCAAGAGGGAAACTCCAGCGATTGTTTGCTTTGGTGATAAGCAACGATTCCTTGGTACAGCTGGTGCTGCATCCAGTATGATGAACCCAAAGAACACCATTTCTCAGGTAAAGAGATTGATTGGGCGCCAATTTTTGGATCCAGAGCTGCAAAAAGATCTCAAGTCTTTGCCTTTTTCTGTGACCGAAGGCCCTGATGGATACCCATTGATCCATGCCCGGTATTTGGGGGAAATGAAGACATTCACACCTACACAGGTTCTTGGGATGGTGTTTTCAAACCTGAAGGGTATTGCTGAGAAGAACCTCAATGCAGCAGTAGTGGATTGTTGCATCGGGATACCCATATATTTTACCGATCTGCAGAGAAGAGCTGTTATGGATGCCGCTACAATTGCTGGTCTCCATCCTCTACGTCTTTTCCATGAAACTACAGCTACTGCTTTGGCTTATGGTATCTATAAGACTGATTTACCGGAAACTGATCCATTAAATGTTGCTTTTGTTGATATTGGGCATGCCAGCATGCAAGTTTGCATTGCTGCCTTCAAGAAAGGCCAGTTGAAGATATTAGCACATTCATTTGATAGATCACTCGGTGGAAGGGATTTTGATGAAGTCATTTTCCAGTATTTTGCTGCAAAGTTTAAGGATGAATATAAGATTGATGTATTTCAGAATGCCAGAGCTTGTCTCAGGCTGCGTGCTGCTTGTGAGAAGCTGAAGAAAGTTCTTAGTGCTAATCCTGAGGCACCTCTGAATATTGAATGCTTGATGGATGAAAAGGATGTTAGGGGATTCCTTAAAAGAGATGAGTTTGAGCAGATCAGTATGCCGATATTGGAAAGAGTGAAGAAGCCATTGGAAAAGGCTCTTGCAGAAGCTGGACTTACTGTTGATAACTTCCATGCTATTGAGGTTGTTGGTTCTGGATCACGAGTCCCTGCGATCATTAAGATTTTGACTGAGTTCTTTGGCAAGGAGCCTAGACGTACAATGAATGCAAGTGAGTGTGTTGCTAAGGGTTGTGCTCTACAGTGTGCAATCCTTAGTCCCACTTTTAAAGTGAGAGACTTTCAGGTATATTTTGTCACTTATTTCCCTTTTCAGATGGTTTACAATCTATAACATTCTGTAGGGGTTACATCATATAACATTTTGAAGTATTCAAGTTTATTAAAGTTTTCTATCTTGTTGGCTGAAGGTCAATGAGAGCTTCCCCTTTTCCATTTCTATGTCATGGAAAGGTCCTGCTCCAGATGCCCTAACCGGAGCAGAAAACCAGCAGAGCACCCTTGTTTTCCCAAAGGGAAATCCAATTCCAAGTGCAAAGGCTTTGACATTCATTAGAACTAGTACATTTTCAGTAGATGTACAATATGCCGATGTCACTGAAGTACTGGCTCCACCAAAAATTAGTTCTTATACGGTATTGAGTTGTTTCCCTGATCTGTGCAATATGAAATTGAATGCATAAAATTTGAATTGAAGTTCATGCTCATGAGCCGATGTTTCTTATATGGTTAGATTGGTCCTTTCCAAGCTGTAAACAGTGAACGTGCAAAAGTCAAGGTTAGAGCACGCCTTAATCTGCATGGTATTGTCTCTGTCGAGTCAGCAACGGTAAGTGATGAAGTTATTTTCTTTATGGATGTTGGAAAATGCTATTTACATTTACATCCATGCAATATGAGTGATTGTTTGGTTTTATTTCTTTAGCTTCTGGAAGAAGAAGAAGTGGAAGTCCCTGCTGTGAAAGAACAAGAAAAGGAATCAACCAAAATGGAAACTGATGATGTGCATCACGCAGATTCCTTTGGAACTGATGTGAACATGCAAGATGCTAGAGGCACTTCGGATTCTCCTGCTTCTGAGAATCATGCCCCTGAGTCTGGAGACAACCCTGTACAAATGGAGACAGATTCTAAGGTCTGTTGTATTTTCTCAAGTATTTTGTGTGGAAACACCTTTCTACCTTTACTATTTCTTAATTGGTTGCCTCAGGTTGGTAAATCATTAGTGAAGTTTTTATCAATGATTCATTCCTTCCCCTTTTAGGCTGAGGTCTCCAAGAAAAAGGTCAAGAAATCAAATGTTCCAGTGTCTGGAGTGGTTTATGGAGCACTGTCAACAGCTGATGTTCAGAAGGCCACAGAAAAAGAGTTTGAAATGGCATTGCAGGATCGTATTATGGAAGAAACAAAGGACAAGAAGAATGCTGTAGAGGCATATGTGTATGACATGAGGAACAAGGTATTATTATTTGGTTTCATTTTTTGTAGATTCCCTATTACTCCTCCATTGATTTATTCTTCTTTCAAATCAATTTCTTTAAATAATTATCCTTATAGAGAAATTCAAGGTATATTTTTACTGATATTCCTTGTTTTACTGATGTTCCTTATAATGTTTGTTCTTTGTAGAATCTTTAATATGTGTGCACTTCACCCCAATTGTTTTCAACAAAGGAGGAACATGTTCTCTATAAAACTTGGATGTATATGTACTCATTTTATGTGTGTCTAACCCATCTTAATCTCTCCAGCTTTCTGACAAGTATCAAGAGTTCGTGATTGATTCAGAAAAA